TATGCGAGTTAATATGCATGTTATTTATTTTTTCAAGTCTATATTATTTGTAATGTACTGATATTTTTTCTGTCAACATCAATTACGTCATAGAAATCTGTTTGGAAATTTCAATTTGTGAAACAACGCAAATGAAATTCCTGCTCTCCCACTCAATGAATAATATTTGACCATCTTGATTGTTTCCGTTCTGACTAATGCGTTTTAATACAACCAACAACCAACTCACAATCGATTATAATTATTTGTAAAAAAATTTCATAGCTTTGTTTTTACAATAATATTTTGTTTTACTAATATCAATCGAATGATAAACTGTGTTAGAATATATTGATCATTACTTAGCCAAAATATTGATTATCGCTATAAGTAAAGTATGTTTTGATACGGTAATTTTTCAATGCATTGATTTTTAATCTTGCAGAGTTAACTTGTATCTTTATTCTTAGCATTGCCGGGTTGATCACGACTGTGTGGGTCAATTTTACTCACCTATATGATAATAAAAATTTTCTATATACCATACTCTATATCTAAATCAATTTCTTTTCGTCCTAAATTTAAATCATTTTCTTCTATAGATATATACAAGGTTTACATTTTCTAACTTACTTGCATAATTTATACGTATCAAGGGTATTTAGTATAGGATAAAAGTATTAACAAATTAACACAAATAACTTTCATTTTAAAATTTTGAAATATTCCATATTTTAACCAACTAATTAAGGCTAAAATAAATTTGATCAGCCATCTCAAAACAATTATGCGATATTAAGATAATCATAATTTTTATAGAATCTTTATTAATTTTGAATCTAATTTAAATAATTTATGAAAATTCAATCTGTAAAGTGCGAAGATCCATCTTCTTTCAAAATCAATTTATATGCTTGAAAAATCGATTCAGTATAGAATCACCAATCTATCCAATGAACTGGTAACTATCATAATTTTAAATAAATTCTTTTACTTGTAACTTCTTTCTTTCACTGGTCACGTATCAGTTTTAGCCTTTACTGTTTTCTCTTTTAATCTTGAGATCCAGTTAATGCTCTAATGTTCTTCCTTTCATTTCACATGTTCTCACAGTTTTGTATTTCACGCAAGCTATAGTGGTGCTCCCTGTATTTCATATTTTTCAATAATCTCGATATTAATTTTACCAAGAGGAACTCCTCTAATATCCTATGAAATTTTTCAATAACGATTTAATTATCGCCCATGGAAATTTCAAAATATTTTTGTCCTAGGGTTGATTTCATCACCATTATACATCGCTAAAGTGATCAATGGTTTATACAGCCTTTATATTTCGCCTAAAATATTCTCAGTATTATTATGATATATAAAATAGCCGTAATAATGCTGCTGTTTGCGCTTCATTACTATTTTACAAATAGAACATCAGCAGCAGGATCAAGTGATAAAACAATTCTAATATCCAAAAAAATGATTAACAATAATTTAATTTTGCCTCCTTAGAAGTAACGAAAATATTTTTACGTTTTCTGTATCCCTTTCATTAAATGCTATCAATAGTTTTTAGTGTCTTCTAAGTCAACAACATGAGTGAAAGCATGAGTTATAAATGACTCGCTTCCATCACTCGTAAAATTATTATTTAATTAATAGATTTTCTCTTATACAATTCCACTCGACTAAATTAAGTTATTTGCTCATGACTTACAGATATTTTTGCCTTTGGCTGTTTACTAAACTCCAATAGTTTAGATTGTAGTAATAACAACATAACGGAACTGAAAATATTTATTGTTTCTACTTAACAAATCTCAGTTAACATCAGAAATAATTCACTATGACAGCATTACAGAGAAATTCTAACCTAACTTAATGCTGCTGTAAACAATTTGATAACTCGAGTTAATGAATTAAAACTAAAATGTAGAAGATTCAACTCGACATCATGACTAATCTATTAGTAAGGGTTAAAGGTTTAGCTGCTAAAGAATTTTTATTATTGACGTTTACTCATTAAATAGCATAATGCTTGAAATATTTTTCATAATAACCTCATCTCAAAACAGACAATGCAATTACTCACTTCAGATGAAAAAATAGATAGATTAAATAATTTTATTTCGCATCGAGGACAATATACTGTATGAAGAATAATAATATAGAAATTCCGACTATTACAATGAACCAAGCTGGATATCTAAGACAATGATTAAAAAATCATATTCCTATTTTATGATATTTGTCGAGATATATTACATCAAAATACATTTTTATCTGTAACAAGAATAGTAAAATATTTAAAAAATGGTAAGAAAAAAGCATTACCATGTAAAATACTTATAATAGATTTATTAAATAGTATTTCAAAACACTTTGTTCCTACTTGTAAAGTAAATATGGAGAAATGTTTTTCTCGACGTTGAATACATTTATAGCGTTCTTTTCCTCGACAGAATGACAGTCGATTAACATAATCTAACAACATTGTTAAGGTAATTGTATATATATATAAATATTAATTATACGGAATTTGATGACTTTATACAAGAACTGATGGCTTCTAAAGTTTATCAGGTTCTCTTACTCACTATCTGCAATTTGACATCATCGGGCATAATATTGTTATTTTATCCAATGGAAAATTATTTTAACAATTATAACCATTTTGTACAAAAGAAATAATCCCTCACGAAATGACTACTCTAATTGTTCTCTGTGTCATTTCTCCACTTCTAGAAAATCCTATTAGAAAGTAAAGTTATAGATGCTATCAAGCTAGCTTGGATTGGCAAAATTACATGCAAGTAATGATCTACTGATGCATCAAAAATGACTGCATTCCGCTTTGATATACTCCTATCAATAGTTATCATAGGAAGTTTTTATCTTTACTTTGATGTTATAAAATCCATTTCTCATTGCAAATTGAATAAATATCAATAAACAAACCATTTTATCAAATTAATAATAAAAGAATTCAATTAAAAAAATAGTTGCTGAAAAACGACATCATAGTCTGCAGGGCAAATTGAGTCTGAGAGAGAAAAAAATTCACGGAATATCAAACATATACAGTATTAAGTGTACCTAAGCAAATAGTCAATCTGAATCTCCGATAAAGAGATTGCAATACCATCTTGATGATAAAGTTATGAGCATTAGTAGAATATTCTTATTGCCGCTAATTATCAGTATAAGCTGTAGTATATTAACAATGATTTGGCTATTGGATAATATAATTGAATAATGATAAATTAAATTACTAGTATTAAATTCTATTCCTACGCATTACATTTATTTCTTCGAAGCTTTAAATAAGTTGCCTATAAGTTAATCCAATTTAATCAATCCTTCAGCTATTCCTCGGCAACGGAGTACATAATTAGTCATATAATATTACTACTGATTAAAATTTGAATTTTTAGCGATGTACTGTATTAATTAAATTATTCGGAACAAGACCAGCTTAGTATGGGTACGGTAATCAATGTCATTAGGGTTAATATGACTTATGACTAGATAAGTTTCCACATAAATTAATCGACCATTGTCTCAGATTTATGATTGATTCTTATAAAATAATATTTCTTCTTTGTATAATGATGATGCTAAAACAAATCTATTTTGCTTATGACTTACGTTACCAATAGATAAAACTGGTAAAATATTGCCCTCAAAATGTAACACATAATTACATGATTTCTATATTTATTACCTGTTAAACTTACGAATACATTTAATGTTATTCCTATCAAAATAGCATCTGCACACTTCAATATTATGGGAAAATCGTTATTTCCTTCAGCTCATAAATTAAACATTAATCTTAAAAAAATAATGCTAAAGGCTGTAATTTTCTCCGTAGTCAATCTACTATCCAACAACTTGATTTTCATACAGTCCTAATCATGCCAGCATTTGACCACGAGCACTCTTATTGTTCGCTTCTTTTTTACCTTTGTATAACGTTTAGAAGTTGGATAAACTTTTAAATACTTGCTGAAAACGACAATTTAACTAATAAAGTTACTTTTAAATATGATTGTCTTCTGCCTGGAATCAAATTAGTTTAATCCATTAGAAGTTTAAATTTTTTCGTCGTTATTTTATTTTCCAAAGTAGGAAGTTCTATACGTTCAATTTCCCCCAACAATAGCCATACGCTGTTAGTACTTATTGATCCAATCGATTAGAATTAGCTATTGCAAAGGCTAATTTGAGCTGCATAAATAGGCAAGCATCATAATGTTATTCTGTTCCGCTTAGGATCTCTTACATTTTCTTATAATTATACATGATCTTTCCTGTATTTATCGATCTGGCCACAAGTAGTGATTATCTCTAAGCATTGGAAGAAAGAAGATATTCTATCTCCATATTATCCATGATTTGAATTATCAAATACAGAAATTGTGCTGTCTTCTCTTCCTGTATTATGTTGTAACAAACAAATTTTAACAGGTTCCTTACATAAGATTTCAAATAATATTTCGTTTCGAAAACAAAGGTATCATCGCTATAAGGAGCGGAATAGTTGGTACTCTCATAACTAGCTAAAGTGGAGTGAAATTGAACTTAACCCTATGATAAATAATGTCAGTCACAGCCAGTAACGCCATGAAAGAAATTCTAACACTTACACTGGAGTTTAATAAAACACAAATCACAATCTTGTCAAGATTTTCTCCTTTGAAAGTTCTTCCTCTAATCCATTATAAATCAGAACTTTAACAAACTACTACCACCATTGCCATTTAATTTTATCAATAAAATATCCATCTTTCATTGACGTTACCTTTAGATTGACTCAAATATTGATTTTAATTTCTCTAGCAGCTTTTTTCATACAAAAACTTACTGAAAGTCATAGTAGTGATCATTTCTTTAATTAATGACAGTAAAAAGAGCTGTTCATTCTTGTTGACTCTCGTCCATATAATGTTCCAATCGATTACTGCCTCTAACTTTCTAACCAATGGCATCAATAGGAATTTTCTCTCTTATCTTTCTCGTTGATCTTAATGATTTATAATTATTCTACCCTGTGAAACTCTTTCTTCTTCATTACTCCGAATCCTATTGACTTGATCCATTTTTTCAGCCATAACTTCAGCTTCATTAGTTAATACAATTCCAATCTGCGTGTGTTAGGATATAATATCTCAATTGCAACTAGATACAGAAAAATCAACTGCTATCTATTTGATTCTCCTCTACTATCCTTTACACTAAACGTTTTTAACTTGGATGGTATAAGCGACCAAGATATAACATACAACCAAATTGTTTCTCGCAAATAAAATATATAAAAGGATGATCTACAGTAAATTTGACATTGGATGTTGGTGGAGTAACGCGTACTCGGCTAGCTTTACGTTGGCGACCATTCATGGCTGTAGTACCATATTCATCTAATGTAATGGATAAACTGTGTATAAAACGTGCTAGACAGCAATCTTTCTCAGTTGTAATACCACTTAAATCGGCTAATTTATGATGAAATAATGATGTAGCACCCATAGCTTTAATGATATCATTCATATTATAAATATGTTTTAACCCGAAACGAGGCATCGTTAAATCAACTTGTTTAGGCCGCAATTTTAATATCCATTGGTTGATGTTAGCACCCGTTAAATGCTTTTCGATAGTATCCAAGCTGACAATGTCATAAGGCATCATAATATACATGGACAGTGTACTACATTCGTAGGGTAATTCTAGTATTTCAAAACCTAATTGCCTTTCATGCATATGGCGTAATCGCCAACCACAACTTTTCATCATTTTAACGCGATGCGATTTGCCAATTTTTTCGTAGAAATAACCAGTTGTTGTATTGCCCTTGGAAAATTGATATTCCCAACGACAATTAAAGGATAAAGTAGTAATGACGAAAAAATTATCAAAGGAGCGAACTGCACGTTCAGAGACAGTACTGGTAATTTTTTTCATACTACGACGTTTTACCCATTTATTGATAGCACGATAAGCATCCATGTCATCTTCGCAGCGGATACATTCAAATGTACCATGATAGATTTTAGCCATTTGTGTATGATATTGATTGGATAAGTGGATATCACTACTACAGAATAAACCAACTGATACTTTAAAGAAATGGCCTTTGATTTGATGACTAATCTTAGATACTTCTTTAACGTTATAAGAGTCATGATTTAAGATAATTTGGCCACGTTTAAAGATACGTTCTAAGAATAAACTAGCACTAGATTTAGCATATTTCATTTCTCCTCCATGGCTATCATCGTCATTTTTATGTCCTAGGATATCTTGTAACATTTTATAATTACAACGACAAGAACGTCTCCAATTTTCAACTTCATTCAATATAAAGGTTAAACTATTAGGTAGTAATGAGCCGTTACTGACTTGTAATACAGTTTCAAGTTGTTTGGCCGTTTCGCCATTAGCCCCATAATGGACGACCGCTAAAGCTGTTGAGAAACCTAGCGGCGATATTATAATATTTTTTCTCTTCTTCATCTGTTTCAATAAATTGCAACCAACATCGTTGATTGCCGTTGTATCCATCGTCTTGATCAATTCACTTTAAATTTTCTATGATTGATATGAACAGATTTTCTCACTATCCAAGGAAATAACTCATACAATTGATGAAATATACAGCATAAAGTATTGAACGTTGTTCAGATTTAATATAAGGAATAAAAAATGGTATAGCGACGTGGATATCCGCTTTATTTGATCAATAGACTAATTCCAAATACCAGTACTCGTACTAGGCAACTTGGAGACTTAATGATATACACCGATCCATTAATTTAGTCTTATCCCACTGTTAGCAATAGCATCTATATAGATGAAAGTAAATAGCAGAAAAAATGGATCGTAAAACATGAGTAATGAAAGTCACAAACGATAACGATGATCACGTTATTGTAATCATCGTGCTATAAATTATAGCCCGTAATACTATTGACAGGGAAAATATTAACTCGTCGCTCTAAACATTGACCCAATAAGTTAAGACAAAGTCAAATCAGCTGGCAATTTTTATCCAAGTCGATTACGATCCCAATTCCTACAACAATGACTACAGCATACGACGTAAAACCATCATAACTACACCAACATCAATCAATTAAACACATCATTTAAAAGAAATAGAAAGGGTATGTTATCTTGAGAGAAAAAAATATTTTCTAAAGGGCGCTTCTTCAAGACAAGATTTTATAATGAAATTCATTTAATTATGATATTTTACCCCTAGGTCTAGATTGAAACGTTGAGAGTAATCAAGCTGAGAATACTGTATCCTACCCAACAATTAATGTATTGAAAGTGGATAGCAAAAAAAGCCATTTTTGGCCTATATTCCTGTTTTCATTTTTGGCTTCCTTAAAATTCTATTATACAAATTTTCAACTTACTTTAAAGAATCATTTTCATCTTTTTTTAAAGGTGGAAGGTCAATACCGATTTTTTTTTCTCCCTAACCAACACTTAATAAAATACCATAGCTTCCTGATGATGCGATGGTCGTTAACGATGTCGTCGTCTATTTAAATCCTTTGGCCTTCCCCTAACTACGCTGGTTGGTCAGATACTGCGCAATTCTAAGTTTCTTTATCCTATATTGTGTGATTTTATTCTATTGACTCAATAGTCCACGCGCATATACACATAGATCCACACATAAATAGAATACCAAGTAAAACAAGTAATAGTTTCCTTATGAGGAGAAATACTAACTTGGCTTGTAAGAAACAAAAAGAAAAAAACTAATCATCAACATCTAAAATGACAACAACTAGCAGATTGGATTCAATTCAATAGCCAATACCAGCTTTCTTCTCGATTTATTATAACTTACCATTGATTAAGCATACTTTAAAATCAAACAATGGAATCCATAATTAAGCTATTGAGTGGAGACTTGACATCATTACAATGCTGTCATAACCTATTCTCAAAGTAGTCGAAGATGAATTCTCAAGACCTTTTAATTTTCTTCATTGATGATGCCTTCTTTTATCCCTTTTGCCCTCCCATCCTAGTCAATATCGCTCACTCTTTTTTCACCCTCTCAATAGCACGATTAACTACAGGAAATAAAGGCCAACTATTTTACTTACTTCAATAAAGACATATTAGGAAGGATGGAGTAATTAAACTGTCATCATAAATTTGATAAAGAAAAGGAGCAAAAATACATGAAGAAAAGTCAAAATGACTCCAATCAGTTATTTTAGGAATGATCGATTATCATATTATTTTTTTTTTCGTTAATAATACGTCTATTTTATTCATTAAATTACTTTAATATTATTAATTTTTGCTATAAATATCCTATGTTTTCTCTCCACTGTAGATACGGGTGTAATATCCACAAAACATAGAGTATCCATATTATAATTGAATAATACAGCAAAAAAGTCGCACTCTTTAATACCCATTCATGACTATTAATAGGACTAATGTATTAATTGAAGCTATAGATACAATCCTTTTTCATCGCTTAGAAAACGTTATTTATTAGTATTATTTATTTAAGTCTGTACTCTATCGCTATTACTAGATTTTTATTTTTTGAACCTTAAATTCTTGGCTGATATGAACGCCAAAAGCGACGAAAAGATCATCATAAGAATCATAGTTGTACAAATATATCGCTAAACTTGATCTTTGATTTTAAGGAGTGGGAAGAAAGATTAAATAATGGTGACCCTAATTGTTTGAGTAAGGGCATGGAGTGATATAGACAGTAAGGGATGTTCATACCAGATTTTAATTTTTCTTTATACAAATTCCATTTACTGCGTGTTCTAGAATAAACATGGTAACTTCGAGTTCACGGCTAGCAAAGTGGCTGCTTTAGTGCTAGGCTATAATATCAGTATTATTAATAGAAACTGTAGTAAAAGGAAATAGCCCCATTAATAATGTGATTGAATAAAAAAATGGTAGTCTTCGAATTTATTCGGTTATCGATACAAACAATTACTATGCAAATACGGAAAATACGTTAGCACTACACAATTTATTACAATTTAGATTGTGATAAGCTCAAGACTGATGATATTTATTCATATGAAATAGTGGTGGTTAACTGCTACGTGAATACGATTATTGTCAAATAGATAGGCAACTATAATTAACCGAAAAATATTCACAAGATCTTATGGCAAATAAAAATGGTTATAGTATGAATTTAGACAGTAGTAATTTGTCCCTTATTCAAATATAAATAATTTGGCCTCTAACTATATAAAGGTCCAGCTGGCTATAGTATATAATGCATATGGTCTTTTAGAAAATGAACGTTCAAGAAACCGATCAAGTCGACTGTAGTCTCTTATATAGATAACAACATAATATTCCCGCAAAGTTAATATATTAAGGGCGCGACTTGCAGATATCTAATAAAAATTTTTAATCTACGTTAGCACAAATTCATACGTTATAGCTTTGCTAAAATTTCTTGCCGCTGACTTTGGGAATTCTATAATTGCGTCTTACACCATCAGCTAGTCACTTTATTGATCCAATATTCAAGTTATCATAATTTCTTGAATATTGTATAATACAAAATGATATTTACCAGCGTTTGTATGATCAAAACTTAGTTAAAGATTAAAAGTAGTAACTCCTTCAGATTCAAATTTGTCATACTTCAATATCGCAGAATAGAGTATGTTACTGATGCATGCGTTTAGATATACTATACCATTAGCAACTCTGCCTTGCATCAGGCAGTATGCTGTTATAGGAGCCAATAAGTTGATTATAGAATTAATTTTTATTAAAATTCATTTTATAATTTTTTAACGACTCAGACCTTGTGACAGGAAGCACTAGAATATTACTTTAAGATACTGTACGTCCACATTAGAAAGTACTGCTTTACTAAATACCCTTTACAGTACAGTAACAGTTTGAAGTATCTATCAATCTATTTCTTACACTTTAGAAATATTAGAGGTATTTACAGATTATAGGATGAAACAATGGAGCCAATTGACATTTAAATACTTATTCCCTGTAGGATTACTGCATCTAGAAATAAAATTTCATCTTATACTCGTATTACTAATATCAGAATGCCAGATAAAATCAGTCTACAATATTACAGAAGGTATGACATCCAAAACTACAACAACCAAGTAAAATTTATTGTTTGATCACCTGCTTCAATATGTAAACATAGATATTATTATATTTACTATTCTACTGTAAATTAAACTAATAAGAGCAGAACGATCATGGACTAGTCGATAGTAAAGCACTTTAAGCAGGAACTAAATACACCGGTATTAACGTGACTGTATCACAGAATGTGTCTTCGAAAATAATAGTAAATTAAAAAAAGACCAATAAACAGGTTTTCAGTTTTATTTGGAATGGTCATTGACTGACTGGGAGCATCTATTTACGAAGAAAGACAGGTCAGTAACATCCGTGATATAAATAAATCTTATGCCAATATGATTTCTGTGTACTTGTAAGGAGAATGAAGAAATCTCATTAGTTCTTAAAGTATCATACACATGAAATATTTATTGTTCTCATATTACTTAAAAATACTTGACATTACTAATAATTATTAGCTATCGCTCTTTATAACTTAAAACTTGATAATCAGACATAGTATCTGTTTATAAAACAGATTTGCAACATTAATAAACAATAGCTGAGACTATATTATCATCGGTTAATGGCACTCTGTGCTTTTTCTTTGCCATAGCAAATTCAATAAAATTCTCTGCTACCTTGCTATCGCGAGTACTCTTTTACAATATCTAGTTGAGACTATTTAAAACTTTGAGCCTCATTCAAAGGTTCATCTACGAAAGTAAGAAAAGCTCAGATCAATACACGTATGTTATTTAATAAATTTTTCTTAGCAGAAATGCTAATATTTCTTTTTGTTACTGAAATTTTATAACATTCTCATAAGACACGTAAGTAGAACTTCACTATATTTAAAGGAATATTCTGCACTAATTTTAGAATTTCTCACTTAAATTTTAGTTTTCCAATATGTCGTTTTACTAGAAGGACGATTATTTATGTTATCAAGATTTCCCAAAAGAAAAAATCTACTCCAGTAGAAGAAATTTTCATTTAAATTTTAGACTGCCAATTGTTAGCGGTACGATAGCGTCTGTTTTTTGGTATGCTCTCAGTCAACTGAAGCGAGATCGTCAGCTAAGCTTCCACGTGAATATCTATCTTTATTCTGATTTCTCACTACCTTATATACTGTACAATACAGTACCTTTACTGATCTAGTACGGAACAGAACTAGTGCCGTTAAGCTCTGATAAGGTTGCAATACAACCGATATGAATACAATACAAGAAATCCTATAATTAGATACAGAGACGCTAGTAAATCCGTAACACCAATATATCGCTTTTTACCAGAAAGAACGATTATTTATACGTTGTAAGTGTCTCACTCCCCATGGAATCTAAGGAAAGTTCATATTTTATTTGTTTGCTTTAAAATCTGTTAGTACGCTGCAATATATAGGAGTTGGATTTAAAAAAATCGTATTATTCATATTT